AGAACACCAGCCCTGGCAACACTGGTGACCTGAGAACACCAGCCCTGGCAACACTGGTGACCTGAGAACACCAACCATGGCTACACTGGTGACTTGAGAACACCAACCATGGTTACACTGGTGACCTGAGAACACCAACCATGGCTACACTGGTGACCTGAGAACACCAACCCTGGCTTTTCTGGTCACCTCAGAACACCAAACAATGATAAATTTCAAACAGTGCATACGAAAGAAAACAAACAAATGATACACATTTAGGTATAATATTCCCTGTTCCTTGTTAATGAATCAATAATATTTGGCAACAACAATAAACAACCTTATCAAAGACTTTGACAACACAATACAGCAACAAACATGCGATATAAACAAAATTTCACAAGTGCCTGAAACTTACAAAGGTGCATCAGTTTGAATATGGCCATAAATATATAATAGCACATATTCACAGCTCTTAATCAATACGAATGTAAGATTTGATAACTCATTTCACAGCCTGCTGCCTGCCAGTCTGGACTAGGAGCGACAGTAATAGTGTCCAAGTACGTCGTGGTGACAGCTCACGATTCTCAGCACCCGTTGCCTGTCACTTTGCTATTGACGCAGCCCCGCTGATAGTCATTTCGCACCATCACTTCACATTTTTCTGTTCATCGATTTCTCACATTAAAGGACAACCTATGTGAGAAACTGGATTCCTCTGGGAAATGATATCTATGGTGAGGTATAATGTTTTCGCTTCAAATTAACGTCTGCTGGAAAGAAAGACGATATGATAATTGGATGAGGTCTATTTCACTTTCACTTTTTTAATCTCTCCAAATATCTTGACAGGTTTTTTTCGCGTAACCGTGATGAAAGTCCCAAACTTGTGAACAATGAACAAGGCGTGTCAGAAATTTATCAAAACTGATAAGTTTCCTCATTGTGAATCATGAATCTTTGAATTAGGCTTAGGATGCGGGAAGGCCATACATCTCTATTCATAACACACATGAACTTGAAAGTCACCCTCAACACACATGTACACATAATGGCTGAAATTTCATGAATAATAAATCATATGAGCCCTTTCACACAAACTTCAACTCTATCGCTTTCAAATATCTTGCTGTCATATACTCACTTTTCAGTCTGTGCCCAATACTTTTGAGACTACTAGCCTGAACTTGGCTCTTAGAGTCATTTTCAGTAGTATTTACTACTATTATGTGGACTAATGTTTCTGAGCTTTCAAGCCTGAACAGAATCTACTAGACTCAGGCTTTAGACCAGAGGCTAAAGTCGCAGACTGCCTTTTTCAACCAAATAGGGGCAGTCGGGTAGCCTAGTGGTTAAAGCGTTCGCTGGTCATGCCGAAGACCCGGGTTCGATTCCCGACATGGGTACAATGTATAAAGCCCATTTTTGGTGTCCCCTGCCGTGATATTGCTGGAATATTGCTAAAAGTGGCGTAAAACCATACTCACTCACTCACTCACTCATTTCATCCAAATAATTTATCACCACAGCTGAAGGTGTTAATTCAACCTCATGCCTTCTAAGCTATCGTGTTTATTATCATGGTTGGTTGGTTGGTTTGTTGTTTAACGCCGCACTCAAGAATATTCCAGCTATATGACGGCGGTCTGTAAATAATCAAGTCTGGACCAGACAATCCAGTGATTGATATCATGAGCATTGATCCACACAATTGGGATTGATGACATGCATCAACCAAGTCAGCGAGCCTGACCACCCGATCCCGTTAGTCGCCTTTTACGACAAGCATAGTCGCCTTTTACGGCAAGCATGGGTTGCTGAAGACCTATTCTACCCCGGAATCTTTACGGGTCTATTATCATGGTTATCATGCAAATTCTATTAAATATTTTGAATCTTATTTATGTATCATCTTACAACAAAATGTTCACATAAGTGAATGGCAACAACAAATACATACACTATTTCAAGGAGCTGTCCATGTTCTCAAGGGGCTTCACATAAACAAGAATTGATTCCTTTTCAATACCAACAAACCCAGCCTGTTAACACATGGCTAACATACCTCTTAAACTTGTAATTGGTTAGTTAGGATAAGATTGATCTTGAAAGATTGAATGAAACTTCCAAGCATTTCAAACAAAAACCCAATCCTACAAAATTAACGTTTTTTTCCAATTTGATATTGATCACATGAAAGCATTCAGCATGTCACATCTGATTCGGGCAATGAAACTCTATTACATCATACTCCCCACAGCAATCAAGGACTCACTTCTATATTAAGTCAGGAAGTAGGAACGATGTTGCCAGTTCCATGTACTACACATGTGCTTGGATTATGCCTTGTCCAGCCTTATTTGTTGAACTGATGAGATTGGTACTTCCTGGTTTCTCTAACCGAAATGAAATAATGGTAGCATCAAAACTATTCAAATCATCAGGAGATGAGGCAGTGCTACTGTTTAACTTTCCCATCCCACAAACTTCATTGCAGGCTAGGTTAAAACATGGTCCACTGTTAGAATTTAAGGATTAAATGTTCTCAAACAGCAACAGAAATATTAAAATGTGATCTGGATGTGAAAGCTGCCACAATTATTCTAAATGCTACGGCACCACCTGCATCAATAAAACCCACAGTGTATAACAGTATTTATTCCCGTTTTAGGAGAATAACACTCTCAAATACCCTTTTCAATCACATAAAAAGATAGCATTCCAAACAGTATTTAAAAGACATTGCCTGAGACGGTTCCTTTTCCAGAGCTTCAACATAATGCCCCGTGAAGATCCAGGTTAGAATTGGTCTTCAGCAACCAATGCTTGTCATAAGAGGCAACTAATCAGATCGGATGGTCAGACTCGCTGATTTATGCATGTCATCATATCCAAACTGCATGCTCATGATGTCAATCACTGGATTGTCTGGTCCAGATTGGATTATTTACAGACCGCCGTCATATAGCTGGATCCAGGTTAGAATTAGTCTTCAGCAACCAATGCTTGTCATAAGAGGCAACTAATCAGATCGGATGGTCAGACTCGCTGATTTATAAATGTCATCATATCCAAACTGCATGCTCATGTTGTCAATCACTGGATTGTCTGGTCCAGATTGGATTATTTACAGACCGCCGTCATATAGCTGGATCCAGGTTAGAATTGGTCTTCAGCAACCAATGCTTGTCATAAGAGGCAACTAATCAGATCGGATGGTCAGACTCGCTGATTTATAAATGTCATCATATCCAAACTGCATGCTCATGATGTCAATCACTGGATTGTCTGGTCCAGATTGGATTATTTACAGACCGCCGTCATATAGCTGGATCCAGGTTAGAATTGGTCTTCAGCAACTAATGCTTGTCATAAGAGGCAACTAATCAGATCGGATGGTCAGACTCGCTGATTTATAAATGTCATCATATCCAAACTGCATGCTCATGATGTCAGTCACTGGATTGTCTGGTCCAGATGAGATTATTTACAGACCACTGTCATATAGCTGGAATATTGCTGAGTGGGGTGTTAAACAAGAAACACACACACACTCTATATAGTTCAAGCTGTTAACGATCACATCCATATATAACTAAAGACAGCAGTGAAACGTGTAAAGTCCATTAATTCTTAAAGAACAGAGTTATCTGATTGGTCTATCATCGTCTTGCAAAAACTCATACAAGTCACCTGGCCAGTCTTTACAGATACTCTGGCATTTGATGTGATGTCAGTTGCTTGTCAGCATATGGATCTATGTCACACACAATTATTTCACCAAAATAGCTCTTTGTAACATCTGAAGTAAAAAAGATAAATTTGTTACTTGTGTCATAAGCAGGTTGAACAGGATTTTATGAGCTGGACATTCACATACACCTTTGACCTTCAGTCTTGTGATGTACAAGGCTTTCTGCTGGTAAAATCCTGTAGGCAGCTGGCGACACATGTAACTCCAACTACAGGAGTTGACATCAGCGTGTAATGTCCATTATTATTACTCCTCCAAGAATCCAGCCATCTGATTGGCCATCGCTGTCTTGTAAAAAAACGAAGATGTCACCATGTCTGATCTGATGTCACTTGTCACGTCACTGTCGGCCCAGTTCCAACACTAAGTGACGGCACTGAGAGTACGATGTAGATCATGATGTCGCACAAACATTTCAGCAAACATTAGTCTTTGTGAAATCGTAATGATCAATTTGTTCCACGGATCTTACAGGGAGACATCTGGGAAAACGTGAAGATGGAAACCATCGATTCTGCCTCACATGATCCCAATTTTACACTAATAGGACACAGTAAAATATAAGCTAGATTTTCATCCAAATGTTTCAAAATTGGGAGGTAGGAGGCATTTAATTTTTTTAGTAAACAAACTGATCAAGTCAAACGTGAACATTTGCTATCTATTGATTCACATCTTGACAAGCCTATTCCGATACTTGAGTGTTCTTATGCTGAGTGTATTGTTACAATTTCATCCTTTAAGCAAACAAGTTAACACACAAGGCATATATCTTCGTCTGAAGGTCATGACAAGTGAGGAGAGTAAGGATGACAATCGAATATCTTGTTACTGCCCAATGGTGCTAGTAGACCAGGGCCCACTTGCACAAAGCGATCATAGCACTAACACGATCGTAACTCCCATACTTAAACAAATGCCTATGATAGTTGTGGCGCTAAGATCACTTTCGGGAAGGGGGCCTGGGCCCACTTGCACAAAGCGATCTTAGCACTAAGATGATCGTAACTCCCATACTTTAGCATAGGCTTACAATAGTCTTAGCGCTAAGATCGCTTTGTGCAAGTGGGCCCTGGGTCCTGTTCTTAGCACGATGTTGATTGTAAGCCTATGTTAAAGTATGAAAGTTACGATCATCTTAGCACTAGAATCACCTTGTGGAACAGGGCCCAGCTGCAGCATCAAACAGTGATGTTAAACCATCTATAGTTGAGCATTAACTGAGATGGACCCTAGAAACAGATAACAAACTCCAGCCTACCTCCTGTGCAGTCAAAGTTCCGATGATCCATGAACTGGTCGAGGCTGTTAAAGATGGCATTGCATGATTCACAACAGAACGGCTGACCTCTGACCTCTGCCGGATCTTCATCCGACAGGATCTCACCATCGTCATCCTCTGTCCCATCAGCCTCCACAACAGGAACTGGGGTCTGTGACAACGACTCTACAAGAGCAGCAGGCATGGCACTTAATAATATTGTTGTATTCTAACGTACATTGTGCTAGGTGGTAGTAATCACATTGCTCTGAAATAATACGAAAGCTGTGCCAAGCCTGAGATGATAATAGAAAACAATAATCTTGCAAGCTTGACTTACCACCAATGACGAAAGCATTTCATAGTTTTCGAAAGTCATATGAAATGTGTGTTCATAACATGTTGTATGTTATGAGAAAAGCAGAAGTTTGCTTTATAATGCCTCACACAGCAATATTCCAGCTATAAGACAGCGGCCTGTAAAAAACTGAATCTGGATCAGACAATCCAGTTTGATATATCCAAGTCTATTATTTCAACTAATAAATTTCAACCTTATTTCACTTAATTTCTGATTAAATTTGTGTGGGTATATGGTGTGCTGTACCCTGTGTGTGAGCAAATGTATTACTGGGGTACATCATATGATATACCCCGAAGGATCAGTTGACAGTGAATTTATTTTACCGCTATTCATTCCAGCAGGTCAAGAATATAAGTCTGCAGTGTCACTGAGTTAGAAAAACTTATAGCAGACGAAATAAAAGAACTTCCCTTTACCCAATGCATTTGGATAAACATTGGTCCATTTCAGAAACTCAACGATACTTAAGAGATAAGCAAGTTACCTAGGAAGAATTAACAATAGATTTCCCAGAGGGCTGGGTGGCCGGGTAGCCTAGTGGTTAAAAGCAGTGGTAGAAACTAACAGGTTTGGTCCACTAGTCCTTATAATGATAACATATAGCAAAACCCTTAAAAAGGGCAAATTTCTACTAGTCCTTATGATGCCTTAACTATTGGGCAGTTTGGCAAGGACTACAGGACTAGTGTCAATTTCTAACGCTGTAAAAGCGTTCACTCGTCATGCTGAAGACCACGGTTTGATTTCCAACATGGGTACAATGTGTGAAGCCATATTCTGGTGTCCCCGGACTTGACATTGCTGGAATATTGCTAAAAGAGGTGTAAAACCGTACTCACTCACTCACTTGACATTGCTGGAATATTGCTAAAAGTGGCGTAAAACCATACTCACTCACTCTCAGCGGGCTACATGGAAAATAATTGCCAGTTCCCAAACCAATCAGATGTTAATGTTAGGTAAGATAATAATTCTTGTCTGACTTTTCTGATTCTCCTACAATACAAGACTTACCAGAATCAGTGCCCACTGTTGTCACATCAGGCGTGTCCTCATCTTGTATGGAGTTGTCTTCTCCTAGATCAAGGCCATCCTCTCCTGTCAGAGGGACTGCAATGAAACAGACATCATTATTGAATGCAGGGACAAATCAAGTTACAGACAAATCTACATAAATCTGCAATTGTTATACAAGGGGTGGCTGATGAAAATTTAACAATTGGTTTCTGTTTTCATCAAGTATCTCCAACTGAAAGGGCCACCTTCATCAGCCATCCATGGGGACAAGGTGTCAACTTTAAAGGATGGTGCTACTTCCCTTGTCACTGTAAGCAGTGGGCAGTGGAGCTCAAGAGGTGAAGAGAGAGTCTAAAAGATGATCCAAGACCAGGAAGATCTTCAACTGACACCACTAAGGTTGTACAATACATCAAATGATTATGGATGATTGAAGGTTCGTCATCGAGAGAACTGACATCATTCTGAAGCAGACCCAGCTGATTTTATGAAGCAATTTGTAACCATGGGTGGGTCTTAGGTTCAACACTAACAGCCAGAGACTAAACAACAGTCAAAGCATGTAATGTCTCCTCCAAAAAAGAAGGCTGTTCCATCAGGTCACAAGGTGATGGCTTCGGTATTCTGGGATTCCAAAAAAATCTTACTGCTGGACTGACTACCTCCCAAAAGGTCAGGCTCACTTGAAGTGTGTGGTTCCACCTGGACAATACAAACCTGTGCACAAGTATCAACGTAAGAAATTGACACTAGTCCTGTAGTCCTTACCAAAGTGCCCATCATAAGGACCAGAAGGAATTTGCAATTTTTAAGGGTTTTGCTATATGTTATCATTATAATTTAAGGGCAAGTGGACTAAAAATGTTAGTTTCTACCGCTGAGTATGTTGTCGCCATGGCTACAATGCATGACTGTTGCTGTAAACTCATTGAACATCCTCCTAATTCACCAGATTTGGCACCATCAGATTTCAACTTCTTCCCAAACTTCAAGAAAGAACTGTCTGTCAAGCACTATGCAAATGATGATGACGTCATTTCTGCTGTGAAGGGACTTTTTACACTCAAGAATCACTGGCAGAAGTATGTGGACCTCGAATGGAACTACGTTGACCAACTCCATCAACACTGTCAGAACTTTTCTGCCACCCCCCGCATGTAATGTAGTGTTATGAAAGTTGTGAGTGAGTGAGTGAGTTGGGTTTAACGCCGCTTTTAACAGTATTCCAGTTATATCACGGCGTGTCAGCTTAATGTGGGAGGAAAGCCCGAAGTGATGCAGGTCTCTGACGTTTACCACTTCGGTGAATCCCACGAGCATGGGTATGGTGCTAGAAACATAATCGGGGCGAACTGGGATTCAAACCCACAATCATAGTTTCTGGCGTGCCGAAGGGACACAACTCTGCACAGCAAATCACAGCGCCTTAGACGACTAGGCCACCCGTGCCCCCTATGAAATGGTGGGGCGGTCGGGTAGCCTTGTGGTTAAAGCGTTTGCTCCTCACGCCGAGGACCCGGGTTCGATTCCTGATATGGGTACAATGTATGAAGCCCATTTTTGGTGTCCCCCACCGTGACTGCTAAAAGCGCCGTAAAACAGACTCACTCACTCACTCACTCACTCACTCACTCTCTATGAAAGTTGTACCTGAAGACTACTGTTTTGTTTTTCCCCTGTTGGGGATCTTGTGTTAGCAACTAATGCTGGTGGTCAGACTTGGTGACTTGATTGATTGCGTGGATCGTTGCTAACTATATCAATCACTGGAGTTTCTGTACCAAATTACCACTGAATGCAGTAGTTGGTTGCAGGGGAATGGAAATGTCTACTGGATGTGACCATCATCTCAAGTTATTTCTTACATTTTGTCAAGTGAATATCTTCCTTGTAACTTGTGAGCAGTATCTGTCTTTTGCAAATAAATATTCAAAGACCTTTGTCAAGATGTAGGACTTACAACAATAATCAATTCAACTCAGTTGATGTACTTGACTTTCTGCAGTGTACCACTGTATTTCATGAGTAATCTACGTACAGCAATGGGCTGATTGCCAAGAAGTACCAAACTTCTTCCCTGTAGCTCTATTAGAGTGAGTGAGTGAGTGAGTGAGTGACTCAAATCAGCCAAATCAGCCAAGTCACAGAGCCTGAGCATCCAATCTCCATTATATTTTGTTTGTTTGTTTGTTTAACGCCCCTCTCAGCAATGTTCCAGCCATATGACGGCGGTCTGTAAATAATTGAGTCTGGACACAATTCAGTGATTGACACCATGAGCATCGATTTACGCAATTGGGATACGATGACATGCATCAACCAAGTCAGCGAGCCTGACCACCCGATCCTGTTAGTCGCCTCTTACGACAAGCATAGTCGCTTTTACGGCAAGCATGGGATACTGAAGACCTATTCTACTCCGGATCTTCAAGGGTTCAATCTCCATAATAGTTGACTCTAACTTCGAGCATAAAGAATTGGTGACCTAGTCTTAGAAACAGGCTGTTTACATTACTATAAGGATTAGTAACCAAAATAAGTTTAAGAAATAGGTTTCAGTATTGAGATAGGGGGCGTAGGTGTCTCCTGAGGTTCATAGCATGAAGACCTAAGTTTGATTCCCAACATGCATACTATGTACAGAGCTCCAGATAAGCTTTTGGTGTTGTGGGTATTTTACCCACGCATTTTAAAATCATTGGGTATCAGTAATTCTATCTGGGTATTCAAATTTCTGTTACCCACTAGTTTTTACACATGTGGGAATTTAAGTTAAATATTTAAAAACACTATTCATCTAGTCCCTGCAAACTGGTGTCGTGTGGGTTCGAGAGCTTTATAGGACTCAAAAATACCACGATACTTCCACAAGAAAGTGTGATGGCAAATGATCATGATGTAACTGTAATTGCGGAGTTCGGCAAGGTTGACAGAATGTCCGTTTATAATTTCAAAAAAAGTTGCTGATTTGCTAATGGAATATGCAGGGTTACTTCACAATATTTGGATGATATGCACAAGTTTTATTTTTGTAGCGAATCTGTAATGTTCGTTGCGTATTTGATACGCTTGGATTTGATTTTACTGAGTATTTCTGCATTTTTTATGCGTATTTACGCAGATACGCAGCTTATCTGGAGCTCTGATGTATGAAGCCCACTGCTCGTGTTCCCTGTCGTGACATGACTGGAATATTGCTAAAAGCGGCACAAAGCTCAACTATTTCACTTTGTGAGGTAAATAGTATCTGTGTATAGTTCCTGTACAAATTACATTCAAATTTTTCAACAATCAGAATAACCTATGAGCCAACAGACTAGAAGGAACACGAGTACATATGGATCACTCGCAACCCGTCTGTTAAATACATGGAGCTACTGTCAATATCAGAAACCCAGAGGTCAAGTAAAATGATGGACAATTAGCCGACTGCCATTATCACATTTCAGAGCCCCACAGATTCCCATGGAGCGTAATAACTAGCCAATAACACACACATTACCACTTGCAACTGTGTACCGCTAATCTCACTGACTCACTCACTCACTCATTTACAAGAGTGCTCAATTACAGGAGCTAACTGCCATCCTGTAAGATAACAGTAGTCTTGGTAATATTTTATCCTTCTGATACTGTATAATGCACATGCCATAATCCCTGAATCTAGGGCCATAGAGCAGTTGTCTCCTTACAGCTTACTAACAACCCAAGACACTGGTACTGAACATGAAAGAACAAGTCTTTGAAAGTAAAGTTACCGGAGTGAGTGAGTGAGACCTATCTAGAAATCCAACTAAAGATCCCTTGCCAGGCAATTTGTGATTTCTTTTGTAATTTTGTGCAAATTTGTCAGTGAAAACCTGTACAACGGGTAGCTGGTGTGAGTGAGTGAGTGAGTGAGTGAGTGAGTGGGTGAGTGAGTGAGTGAGTGGGTGAGTGAGTGAGTAAGTGAGTGAGTGAGTGAGCGAGCAAGCGAGCGAGCGAGCGAGTGGGTATGTGGTTGAGTGAGTGAGTGAGAGTGAGTGAGCGAGTGAGCGAGTGTAGCTGGATGAGAGTGAGTAAGCACCCTGTACAAAGCCACAACAAGAGTTGTGAAATTTGTAATTCTCATATGGGCATATTTACAGACATTTGCTGATGACCTGGGGCTGAACAGCAGCCTTTAAGCAGTTCTTGATAATCCACCAATACACCAAGAATGGATATCTCACCTCTCTATGTCAGGAAAGGAACTCAGGACTTGAGTATGACAAGCCAACACTTTAACCACCAGGCTACCCCACTGCTATGTATTTGTAACGTATACCTCACATGATTTATGTAAGTTTGTTTGTTGTTTAATGCCGCATTCAGCAATATTCCAGCTATATGATGGTGGCCTGTAAATAATCGAGTCTGGACCAGACAATCCAGTGATTGACATCATGAGTATCGTTCCACACAATTGGGATACAATGACATGCATCACCCGACCACCCGATCCTGTTAGTCGACTCTTACAACAAGAATAGTCACCTGTTATGGCAAGCATGGGTTGCCGAGGACCTATTCTACCCCGGATCTTCACGGGTCGATTTATGTAAGTAAGGAATGCTCTATGTACAATCATGACGATGATGACAGCTACTGCTGTGGCGCACCTATCATTTCAACATCCTGATAGAAACTCCAGTATAAGGGAAAACTCCTTCACACATTCCACATGTGTTCATGTCATTCTGGTCTCTGGAAGCAAACGGAGCAGTTACACATGCATTTACTTCCTATTATTATTACTCATCTACTTGGGTTGGCCAACACTGCTTAAGGATTTGGGAATTATCACTTCTGTTTTGAGGAAAACAGGTTGATGATCTCAATAAACAGTCACTTACAGTGTATGCTGACCTCAATGAACAGCCACTAACAGTGCATGTTGATCTCAATAAACAAATGCAGCGCATGCTGATCTCAATAAACAGCCACTTACAGTGTATGTTGATCTCAATAAACAAATGCAGTAAATGCTGATTTCAATAAACAGTCACTTACAGTGTATGCTGATTTCAATAAACAGTCACTTACAGGGTATGCTGATATTAATAAACAGTCAC